GACTGTGGGGGCGATATGCTGACTCTGTAAACCACTTAGAGAGGGCTGAAAGCCCTATGAAGCGGTATATAAGTCTAACTGCTATTGCTATTGCTATTTCCGCTCCTTTTGCTTGTCCTTTATCTGGTTTTCCTCTTCATCAAGCTGTTGCTTTATTTGCTGATTTTTCTGATCCATATTTTTTCCCTGTTTGTATTCTATTTGCTGACTTAAGTTGTCCATCTCATCCAATGTTCCTGTTGTTTCCACCAGTTCATGTACATTTTGGTCTTTATTTCTCGTTCTTTGTGAAATACGGTCTGCTTTCTGATCCATACCATCAAGTTCAAGATATTTTGAAACACCAAGGCCATCTCATTAAGACGTTCTCTCGTTCCCAGCGCTGTTCCTTCAACTCCAGCCATAATGACAATAAACGTAGGGTAAACAATCACACCTCAATCAAATCCAATGTCCAGGGAGTCCAGGATCCTGGGAGTATGCTTTGATAAATAAGACTCTCCTCTCCAATTCCCACACTGCCGCCTTTCCAGCAGATATTTATTTCACTCAATCTCCATTTTTTTCAGAACAAAATCAATTTTCCAGATAGGTCAATCCCAGCATTTACTCAGTACTCTGTTAATCCAAAATATTTTCCAAGCTCTTTGAGTTTACTCTGTATTTTAGTCTTTTTTTCTAGCTTCCCAGGATCTCTGTAAGTTTCCAGGAGCCTAGGAGTCATTTTTCCTTCCATCAGTAGATGGCGCTCTCAACTTACTTTTCAACCTAAATCTCTATAAGAATGGTATTTTCTGCTGCTTGCAAAATTATTTTAGAGTGTCTTCTTTAGGGTTTTTTCTTATCCTTGGGGTAACTTTAAACAAAAAAGAATCATTTCACCCAGCAACACATTTGTTAGGTAAGCTCCCCGTTGGGACAGCGAGTGCGTTCAGAGAAGCGTTGTGAGAGTGTTGTTGGAGAACACACAAACCAGCATACAGAGACACTGCAGTTTAAATAGGCTTTTACTTTTGTGTAAATAGAGATATCAGAGTCCATCAAACAGTCCAAGTCATACACGGTTAAGACTGTCAGTCATCAACGTCTTTCAGTTAAGGGATAATCCAAATAACATAGTTCATAATCATAGAAACAGTCTGGTACACAAAGTTTGCTAGCAGTTGCAAAACTTAGAATAGCTTACACTGATCACCACACGGCACTTCTAACAGCCAGCTTCCAAACACTTAGATCAGATCAGATCAGCATCTAACAGTGATTCTGGCTCCATCTTATGATTGAGGAAACAGCAACCAATCACATTTACAGCATGGTTTAAAGAAACAGGTACAGCATTGTTACATGATTTATATATTGCCAACCCAACTGTTAGATTATATTCCTAACATTCTCCCCTTTGGGTAGGACAATATATAAATCTTACAATCTTAATCTGTATTCCTCGCAACAACGTTTATGCTTTATATTACCTTGGGCCTTAGTATAATCTGCGATGTTATCCTCGGACAAACAATATTCCAGTGAAACTAATTTACTATTCACACTTTGCCTTAAGTTCAGATATCTTATATCAGTGTGTTTTAACCTAGTTTTTACAGCAAGATTGGATGCTATCTGAATTGCTGCTTGATTGTCTTCATATACAACTATAGGTTCTCGTATGTCAATCCCCATATCAAGTAGAAGCTGTTTATAACAAATCAAATGTGTACATAATAAATTAGTTTCACTGGACTATTGTATGTCTGAAGATAACATCACAGATCATTTTACTAAGGCCCAAGGTAATATAAAGCATAAACGTTGTTGTGAGGAATATGGATTAAGATTGTAAGATTTATATATTGTCCTACCCAAAGGGGAGAATGTTAGGAATATAATCTAACAGTTGGGTTGGCAATATATAAATCATGTA